CTGCAAGGGCCTGGACTGAGCATGACAACATGGCCAATGGTTAGGTGTCCCGCAGCGCCGCCGCCGCCGCTGCCACGCCGCCACCGCAGAAGCTGCTGCTGTGCCATGCTGGGGTGCAGGATGGCCCTGAGCTGCCACTGGCACTTCAAGGGATGTGTAATAGTGGGGGAGGGCAGGTGGGAGGGTCGGGAGAGAAACCTATCTGTACTTCCTGGCGGCACAGCGTCGGCGGGTCAACCTGACAAAATCACTGTTGAATTGAATTAGACACAAGGCTTGCTAACTATCGCTGTATTGGAACATGAGAGTTTTGGGGAAGGGCGGCGCTGAGGTGATGTTGAACTGCATACGCAGCTTGCTGTTGAGCTTGTAGTTGAGCGACCATTGCGTCGTCACATCCGACTCTTGCAGCTTGCGGATCATGGCGGCCTGCAACTTCTTACCGAACTGCATCTCACAGGAGGCAGGCAGTAGCATCAGTAAGAGAAATGGCAAACCAAAATACAATACTTGGGGCGTACCAGCCAAAGATGCATGCCCACATGCAGGTTGAAAGCCCCCAATCTGCATGTGCAAGCACCCTATCCTCCCTCTTTCCCTCTCCGCCTGCAGCTTGCCTGGATTTCCACCTCCGTCCCCATGGTAATGCTGCTGAGGATGTTGCTGGGGTCGGCCAGCGAGGGGTCCAGGCTCAGCAGGCCAGGGATGGAGGGAGCCGACACCAGGCGCCACCGTGTGCCGCCCACCACACCCTGGGTCTCAATCTTGGGCATCAGAGTGGACACTGTGGTACCCGCCAGCCGACTCAGTGCCAGCTGCCCGTCCTCCGCCAGTAGCGCAGCCTTGAGCTTGTCCTCAAACAGCCGCGCCGCGTCTGCCGCGTCCAGCTGCTCGCCGCTATCGGGACGCGACTTATTGCTGATGTAGTGAAGCGTCAAGTGTTCCTGCCACTCGCTAACCTTGCCCTGCAGTGGGTGCCAGTCATTCAGTGGCTCTTGCACACGTGTTGGGCAGGGCATGACAGCCAGCATGAGAGGCGTGAAGCATCTAAAAGCAATGCCAGCCGGCAGCTGGCCGGGACAAGACAATAAACGGTGCCTCATGCTGCAGTGCTTAGTCCTGCCTCAACCCCTGCACACCCACGCCGCCCACCTTGATGGCGACGCGCAGATCGCCGCCATTCATGACCAGGTCTACCAACGGGTCCAGCCCCGACTGCTCAGGCTGGAAGGTAATGAGGTTGGCGTGCTCGCGGTCCAGTGCCAGCTGTGTGGCCACCAGGTTGACGTCGCCGCTGGGCAGCCGCACTGTGCCGTTCACCCGCACCTGCAGTCATGGAAGCAGGACATGAGTGAGGTCTCGCTGTTGCCCCAGCCCAGCTGCGATACACTGGAATGACACGCAATGCCCCTCCCACCAGCTACCCCGGCCCTAAACACACACCTGGTCTGGGTGCGCGGGCCCGCTTACTGCCAGCTCCCCCTCCACACCAAAGTTCATGACCAGGGGGTACATGGCACGCAGGTCGGGGCCCAGGCAGATGGACAGTCGGTCGAGGGACACATTGTGCTGCCCCGCATCCTCAACGATGTGCTCCACTGCCTCCACCTGCAATGGATAGGCGGGGCCAGTGGGGCACCGCTCATGGTGGAGCAATGCAGCAAGCACAATAAAAAAAGACTGCTCACCTCCTGCTTCATTACCGCCTCGAACTGCTGCGCCACACCGCTCTCGCCACGCGTCAGGATGTCAAACACTTTGGCCACCGACATGCCGCCACCACCTGCCGCCTGCCCGCCGGTGCCCGTGGCACTGGGGGTGAGCAGCATGTTACTGCCGGCAGAAGCAGTGCCGGCAACATCTGCACCAAGTGCCCAGGTAGGTGAGCAAGAGAGCAGGCACATGATAGGCAGGGTGAGCTCGAGTCAAACACGCAGGGGTAGCATGGATGGCTAGAGGTGCGGAAGGAGCAGGCGCTGACTCCATGCAATCATCGTATGAACACCAGAGCTTTGCCCCATATATTGATGCATTCCCTTGCCCCATAGCAGTTCGTGCACCTGGTGCACCCTGGGGTACAATGAACACTATGCCCTTGCTAAATCGCATGCCACCAGCCACGGTCGGACTGGCCAGGCTATTGGTGAGCACTAGGGAGGCATCGTACTGGCCGCTGTACAGGTTGCGCACACGCAGCTCCAGCGCTGATGCCTCTGCCAGCAGCCGGTGCGGTGCCACGTGCTGCTGCATCTGCTGAATTGGTGTCAGCAGCGGCGGGCCGCGCCCACCAACCCCGCCACTGTACAGGGGCAAACTGCCGCGAGCACGGATATGTCCACGCCGCCCGCACCGTGCCTCCAGCGACTCCACCGTCAGCATGCCGCCCCCAGCCCGGACCTCGGCGCTTGCATTGGTGAGCGGGAAGCGCAGCAGCGGGCAGTCGAGCGTGGCACGACTGATGCTGGCACTGCCGCTCAGGACCGGCTGCTCCACAGTGCCCCGTAGCCGAACGTCGATGGCGGCCAGCCCCCCCTGCCAACGCAGGTCAGGCGTGATGCTAGTCAGCAATGCCATGCCGCCATCCTTCACATTCAGCCGCACATCCATCTGCTGCTCGCTGCCCTTGCCGCCGCTGCCCGCTGTGGCGGCATCTGCAAGAGGCACCACGCCGCCGGCTCGCACGTATCCCGCCTGCCGGTGGCCCTCAGCAGGCACCACTTCAACGTTGAAGCTCAGTAGCTGCGCCTCGCTCAGCCGCGCACTAGCTTGCGCCTGCGACAGGCGCGTCTGGCCTGAAGGCCGGGAAGTAGTAGCAACGGGAAGGCCAGCATAGTGAGCAACAAATAGCACGTCACAACAAGACGCAAGATACGTGTGAGGCATGGCCAGGCACACGCATGAAGACCATGGCCTTTATGGGGGGTGTTTATCCTAGAAAGGAGTGAAGCGTGCAACGCCGATGCATTTAGTGCCCTGCGGCTTGCCATTCAATACTGTCAAGCCTTTCCCCAGCTGCCTCTCCCCCACTCACCTACTGCCGCATCATACAGGCGCACCGCCACTTCCCCCGTGGGCTGTGCCCTGCTGCCCGCAATGTTGCCAGACACGTAGAGTAAGCCATTGATGGGTGAATCGGCGTCGCTCAGCGCGCCGCCCGGCAGGCCCAAACCCTTAGTGGCGCGCCCCACTGCATTGGTCAACATGCCCAGTGGACGTGGCGAGGCAATGGGCTGCGGCCGTTCCGCGGGCACGGCAGGCGCAGCGTGCTGCAGCGCTGGCACGGCCCTGCAGTGGAGAAGGCAGAGGGGCACTGGGCCTGCTTACTCCCACAGGAGATTGAGCCTCCTGCTGCTCGGAGACTTTGCAAAGGAGCAAGAATGTGCCCAGACCATACTTGTCTGCCATTGGCGGGCCGGTGTGTGCAGGCTCCCTAATTCACCTGAAGATGGGCTGCAGCGTGGCCATGGGGAAGTCTGTGAGAAGCAGCGAGGCATCCTGGTGCTCGCCTAGCAGCGAACCCCGCACTGACAGCTTGGCATCGCCCGCCTTGAGCACAACCTGGAGGCAGAGTGAGGTGGCAGTAGCAGGCGGCAGCAGCAATTCAGCCCAATAAAAGCCTGGTCTGCAGCTTCATTGCTTCCCAAAAAAAGATGCCAGTTCCAGCCAAGTATGGAGTCTTCAATGGTGCACTACTTACAAACACCACCTACCTACCTCCAACCACCACATCCGCCCACCACGTACCTCTTGCAACTGCACGCCCTCCTCTGAGTGGTAGCTGCCATTGGCCACCAGGGCATCCAGTGAGTAGCTGCCCCACTGCCACGACTGGCCCTTGACATCAAAGTCGCAGCTGGTGGCGCTGCTGCCGCCGCCGTAGGCCTGGATGCTGCCACTCCACTGCCCCCGCATGTCCTGCAGGCCGGGCAGGTGCAGCTCTGCACCGCCACGTACCACATCCTGGTGACGGGCACCCGCGATGCCATCAGATGCAGCTGGCTGTGACCGCTCGGCCATCAACCGCAGCTGGGTGTTCAGCTCGGCGGCCTTGATGCTCGACTGCTCGATGGCCTGCAATTGCATGGGGGCGGAATGGCAGATGCGGGTGTTGTATCTTACCTACTTTCAGCTGTTTGCCTGCAACTGGCCACCCATCTGGGGATACATTCCTTTTTGAGTCACACACGCAAACAAACCGCTGTAGGCAGCAACGGCACCCTGTCGGCGTGCCTGCAGGAAGGCGGCCTTAGCGCGCTCATACTCTGCTGGTGACAGCGACGTGGCGCTCTGAAGCAGCCGTGCTGCTGGCACAATCTCCTGCAGCTCCGCCCATGGCACAGACACCTGCATGCGCCAGCGGCCACCCGCTGCCGCCGCATCGCCAGCCGATGCTGGGAGGGCCAGTTCGGCAGCCGAGCTCGGCAGCGGGGTGTTAGGTGGCAGGCTGTACTCGCCCTGCATCTCATACCTGCACCAGAGAGGCAGCAGCGTTGAGGAGTGAGATGCCTTGACGCTGCGGCCAAGAGAACGGAACAAGGGCAGCAAGGCACACCCCAAGCCTCTTGCCGCCGTGCCACACCGTCTGCACGCACCTGCTGCGCTGCTGCTGCAGCACCAGCTTCTCCAGCCGAACCACATCGCGCTCCCAGCGGAAGCCCCCACTGAGGCTATCGCCGCGCAGGCCGCTGTAACGAGGGTTGGCCAGCGACACCTTTCCCCGTCCCGTGTGCGTGTCAAAGTTCAGACTGCAGCTGATTTCCTGCGTATCCAGATGCAGCAACAATAGGCAGTTGCGCCACAGGCAGCAACAACTGCCGTTATTGGGACATTTGGCTGGCTGGCTGCCGATCCATTGTGCTGTGGCCAAGTTGTTCTGTCCTGCCCCGATAACATGCCACGTGCCTGCAGGTCTCCGCGCAACGACGCCAGCTCCAATTCATCCAGCTTCAGAGCAGCCACCTGTGGTCAGCAGATAACAGCAGCAGGATCCTTGCGTCGCCCTACAGCTGGCACGCCCAGCACCCTGCCATGCTCTTGCACGTGCAAGCACACCCCGCCCCCCCTCCAAACCACCCACCTTGAAGTCCAGCTGGGAGCCAGCAGCATTAATGTCTGCTGCCACTTGCAGCGGACCACATCGCATCTGCAACCCGCTGCCGCCGCGTCGCACAGGCGTTTGCGGCTGTAACTGATCGGCTGCTGCTGCCGCCTCGCCAGGCTCGGTGACTGCCTCCACTGCTGGTTGCGGGCCACTTGCACCAAGCGCACCCGCTGTCAACACTTGGCTGGTATTTCCAGCTGCGTCTCCCGCGCTTGCTGCCAGCTGCTGCTGCTCCTCACCGGGCACAGAGGCAGGCAATGGCAGCGCCAGGTCCAGATCCAGGGTCTCACTGGCCCGCATACCCTTGCCGTGCACGCTAATGCCGGCGCCTGACACTGACAGCCGCCCCGCCAGCTTCTGGAACAGCTTCAGCTGGTTCACCCGCATGCTCTCCAGCCCCAGATCCCCCTCAAACACCCAGCTCCCGGTTCGGCTGGTGCCTCCGCCATTAGGCGACGTTGCAGGAGCTGCATGGCCAGCATCCACAAACGCCTCCCGCTGTACCACGCCTGACACCTTGGCCCGGCCGTTTAGCTTGAGGCGGAGCGGCTGCCCTGACTGCGCCGCCAGCTGTCGCAGCGCCGCCTCGCCATCCAGTGACACGAGTGGCACCACGTCCAGTCCCCGCAGCCCCACCTCGCCATCCAGACCCGCCACGTTGGGCTTGGCCAGCGCCGTAGCCTGCACCTGCGTCACCGCCGCCTTGACATCCTCCAAGCTGGGGGGCAGCAAGTGCGCGGTGACGGTGGTGTCAGCGTGGGGTGAGGACATGGTGAGCTGTGCGGCGGTACGGCGCAGCTGTGCTGTGCAGGAGGCAGATGCCTCTGGCAGCTGAGCCGCCACCTCCAACGTCGGCTCCAGATGGCTGCCCTGCATGAGGACGACAACAATGGTTCATCATGCGGAGTAGCTAGCTGCACTCTCCAGCTTATAGACAACATGGATTCAACCCCATGGTAGCAAACGCACCTGCAGGGTTGCGGTCAAGCTGGCATGCCCCAGCACCATGCCCGGCGGCAGCAGCATGCCCTCAGGCAGGTAACGCCGTGCCACTGCCTCTGCCACCAAGTCCTGCCCCTCGGCACGCAAGGACACAGCAGAGGGGTCCATCTCGGCGCGTGCTGCCACCCACATGCTGCCAGAGCCTCGCAGCTGCAACACCAGTGTGGGGCAGGGTGGCAGTAGGCAGGTGGACAGCAAGGCAAATGGACAAACAAGGCGGCAATGCGCTGCGCTCCAACAATTTATGCCATGAAGCACCTGCCCGCCATCTGCCAGCACCCCATGCGCCGAGTGCAGCTCCAGCCTCTCCTTGGCCGTGTCCAACGCGAACACGGCACCTGCGCTCGACAGGGGCACACGGTCCCAGGCGCCCACTGCGCCCGGCTCTGCCAGCATTGCCGCCAGCGCCTCTGTCTGCTCGCAGTCAACCAGCTGCACGGAGTCAGGGCGCACTGCCCAAGCAGTGCCCGAGAACACCGGCTTTTCCAGTGGGCCTGTCACGTGTAACACGCCTGCAACGCTGCCCGCCACTGGCTGCGGCGTTGGGCGCACCCCCAGCGTGGCGCGCAGCTGGTTCACCTCCACCCCCGGCACGCTGGCGCTCAGCCGGTACTGGCCAGTCTCGGGGTTTAGGTCCAGGTCGCCTGCAATGAGCAGGGCGGGGGATGCGACAGGGCAGTGCAAGCCGGATAGGACAGTGAGGGCAGCCCAGCGATCCAGAAAGGGTTGGGCAGCCAGTGCACCAGCACCTCCGATACCCCTGTTACCCCTGTCATGCCCCCAACCCGTCAATCACCCCATCTCACCTGTCAGTGTCATGGGCACTGCGCCAAAACTGCCACTGGTGTTGTGCAAGTAAAGGCGGTCACGCTCAAATAGCAAGTCCAGGTTGGCCCCACTGATGTCATCAGTCGCGTCCCAGAAGTGGAAGTTGGCGCCCCTGTGGTGTGTCAGGACCCGGTGCATGCATCATCCATGGTTGCTCAACAGGTTGCTCAACAGGAACAAAGGTCAGCAGGCACGCCGGCACAAGAGAAAGCACCAGGCACAGCAGCTCTGCTGTGAAGGGTCCTCGTGGGGCATCCTGGCTGGCACCCCGCAGCCCACCCACCTAACGTCGACACGTCCGAAAAATTCGGGAAAGTGCCAGCTGGCAGCATCATGCGAGTAAATCCTTAACTCGCCGTCCGCCTGCACGAACAAGGGGTTACAGGTGGCAGGCGTTGCAGCGCATAGAAGCGGTGTGCCTAAAACATGTCAAGCCTTTACAACCAAGCAGCCCCTCCACAATGCCTGCTACGCTCACCCTGCCATCATTGATGTCCATGGGCAGTTCAATGAGCCGCTCGATGAGAGGGGCATGCAGGGCCCGACCCTCTACCCGGATATCCAAGATGGGCACCGTCTGGGTGGTGGCAGCTGGCTGCACGGCCTCGCCTTGCACACTGCTGGTGGCGACCGCCAATCCCTGCGTCTCCACTGGTGGCACCGCACCACTAGTGATGCCGCTGGCGTCTAAGCGCACCCGCAGCTTGCCACCTGTGGGCCGCCCACTGAAGGCAGCAGCAGTAGATGTTGTGCTACTGCTAGTCTCTGCTGCCTCCTCAGGGCCGGAGCCGGAAACCGCAGCTGACCCCACATGCCCATAGGTGCGCATGGCAGCAATGCCAGTGGCATTGCGCAGGTGGCGATGCGCGTGGGGAGATGGCATGGTACACTTGGCGGAGGAGGGCTGGCGCTCATGCGGCATGGCAGTGAGGTCCAAAGACAGCGTATCGTAACAGGGGCCGAGACGCACATTCTGCGGGCCAAAAGAAAAGATGGACCTCTAGATATGCGCCAACCCTGTGGCAGGCTGCATGGCTAGCCTGGCAGCCAGTCGGGCCAAGCATAAAGCAGGAAGGCAGGGCAGGCAAAGACAGCAAGCACGCACCACTGCCACGTCTTCAAAACGCCGAGGTAGCGCCTCGCCATGCACATGCGCATCCACAGTGGCGCCCTGCACTTGGATGCCGCCCAGCGCCACCTCAACCCCACGCAACTGGCTTGCTGCTGCATCCACTGCCATCCGCACATAAGTTTGCAGCGTGCTGCGCCGGTTTCCTGCAGAGTAGCATGCCCACAGACTCAAACCAGGCCTCATCCAATTCAGTCACGGTCCATGAAAGAGCCAAGCAGCACTGTTAACGCACTGGCATCAATGAGCGCTTCAGGCGGTGCAGGCGTGTAGCTTGGTCCACTGGTCGCCGTGAAGTAGCCGGGGTGCATGAGCGGCGGCCGGCGGGAGCTGCCCGCCTTCCCCACCCCCGCCCCCTCATGGTCGGCATCGCCGGCAGGGATGGAGTCCGGCAGCTGGAAGGCGTCATTGGCAGCATCTGCGCATCCACCCTCAACTGAGCCGATCGCCATGGCAGGCACAGCGCCCTCCTTGGCCATCACAGCAGCAGCAACCCCAATGTCTTGATGCTGTGGCTCCTGCTGGCCAGTGCCCAGCCGGCCGCCAATCAAAGCGGTGGCTGGTGGGCGCTGGTGTGACCAAGGTAGCGAAGCAGAGCCAACTACAACAAGCAGCAGGCGAGCGCTTGTGGGGTGCACAGCGACAGAGAGCAATGCAACTGAGGCAGCCCGCTCCCCATTAACAGCAAGCTCCATTAAATACGTGCCACAATAGCGAGTGCCAGCTGTAAGCCAACCCACCTTTCTTGCGCTGCATCACTGCAGGATCCACAACCACAGCAGCGTAAGCGCCATAGGCAGCACGGCTGACCCGGGAAGACGGCTTCAGCTCCTCGGGAGCCTGTAGGACCCCAATCCTGTTGACCCGACTTGCAGCACCAGTGCCTGCCTGCCCTGTCCCATGCAACTGCTGGCCACATGCTGCACTGCCATCAGCCATGCTGCTGTTGCTGGCCGCAGAGGGGGATGAAGCTGCCACTGCCGGCAGCTTGAGTGGCGACAACGTGCCCATAAGGGCAGGCAGCCTGTTGATACGCACCACTGCTTCCTGGCGCTGTTCAGCTGTCATTGTCATGGCTGGTTCTGCTGTGGCTGTCCCTCTCACCACAGCAGCAGGAGGAGTGGGAGAAGCCTCGTCAATCTTTGCCTCGGCTGCCACTGCTGCAGTTTTGGCCACCAAGTGCTGCAGCGGGTGTGCTGGGTTGGCAGTATAGAGTTTGCCGCTGTGGGCTTGGAGGGAGTGTAGCTGCTTAGCGAGTGCCGCTGCGGAGGCACAGCCCCGGGCCATCCTGCTGGAAACAATGGCAGCACTGTTTTGCTCAACACCAACCGCAGGTGCAGGTGCTGGATCAAGGTGTGGTGCCACTGCTAAAGTCGTCTGCCGCTCTTTTTCCCGCTGCGCCTGTGCAGAACCTCTCCGCCTACGCAGCTTCCTGTGCTGCGGCTCATGATGGGCACCCTGCTGCGCAATCGTTGCTGTGTTCAGCGCTGCAGCATTGGTGCTGTGTTCAGCGGGCTGGGTCCGAGACTTGCCAACAGCAATGGCAGTTGGCGCAGCCTCAGCAGCGCCCTGGTTGCCAACCAAACTACTACTGCAGCTGGTGGTCAACTCTGCTAAGGTGCGCTGTGCTATGTTATCGCTGATAGCCGCTATGCCAGCACAACGGGCCAATGGCGTGCCTTGCAGCTGCTCCAATGTATAGCCGCGGCCTGCCTGCAATCGCAAGGCATTCAGCGCTGCCACTTGCTGCTGTCGCTGCATGCTCTTGCCGATTGGTTGTCTTGGGGTGTTTGGCTGTGTACGCTGCACATCCTGCTGTTGAGGTGGCTGCTGAGGCGGCACAGGTTGCTGGCCCTGAGTCTGCCAGCTCAGCTTGCCACCAAAGATGCCACTGCCGCCACCACTGCTGCTGCCAGGAGCCGAGCAAACCAGCTCCGGGGGCTGCTCATTGGGCTGCTGCTGCTGATGAATGGAAAAACGGTCGCTGGCGCTGTGGGAGCGGCTGGGGCCGCTGTCACCGTTTTGCTGTTGGGATGAACTGCTGCCAAACCCCATTAGCACCACTGTTGGCTGCTGCTCAGGAGCTCCTGATGAGTGCTGTGCAGCCACTACTGGTGCACCCTGTGCTAGCTCCCTACCGAGTCGCTTCAACAGTTCCTGCAACTGCTGGCTGCTGGCTGCTGCCCGGCTTGCAGCCGCCTCCATCCGCTCTCGAGCATCTCCAGCAGCAGTCCCCGTCGGTACTGCTCCCACACCTTGGGCACCAGCTGTGGGACTGCTGCTGCTTCTGCCACCACCAGGTGACGACCCAGCACATCCGGCACTTCCACCATTAGTGGGAGTGCTGCCGCCCTCACTGCCACCACCGCTGCCGCGACCTAAGCCCGGCACAAAGTTCCGGGCTGAGGGGGAGGTGTCCTCGGGGTAGCCGAACCAGCTATAGTTGCTGGCCTGGACAAGGTCCACCTTCGGGCACGCAGACGGGCACAAATTGCAAGCCTGGGTGTGGGTGGTGTGCATAGGTGTGTGCGTGTCTGGGGCTGTAGTGTCGGCCCTCACAGTGAGGATGCAAATGGTGGCAGCGTCCATCCCCCCGGGGCAGTCTGCCTACACAGCCTAATAGCCCCACGCACCTGCGCGCCCCGCGCCTTGACCGTCAGCACCACCCGCCCCTGCAGCGCCGACTGCACCGGGTCCAGCACGACTGTTACCTCCTGCACCTCTGCGCTGCTGCGCTCCACGGTGCCCGGGCCAACACACACTGGGCCCAGGCTACCAAGCGGCGTCAGGCCTATCAGCCCCGTGGGCGCCACCCAGCGCACTGCCCCCAGCGCCACCTCGCGCTGCAGCATAGCGCTGGCGGCCGCCTGCACTTGCGGCAGAAGCTGGCGGTTGATGGCCGGCACGCCCCACGCATTGGCGACTAGCGTGGCTGCCGCCGCCAGCATGCCCAGGCCAAGCGCCAGGCGTGCCAGGGCATGCTGCAGCCAGAGGCGCTGTGCTTCCCAGAGCGCTGCGGGTGCGGTGGGGTGGGCGGGGGGCCCGCAAAGAGTCGAGGCGAGTAGGTCAGCACCAGGGGGCGGGTGACTGCGTTTGCAGCCAGGCCTCTCACCAGCACACACCTTGCACCGCCTGCCGGAAGGCAAGGCCCAGCGGCTTCAGCTTGCTTCGCAGCTCCAGCAGCGCGGCAAGGGGCCCATCGTCGGGGGGCCAGCTGGATGTGCTGTAGACGTGCAGGGTTGTGCGCCGCCGCCAACGCTGCCTGCTGCGAGGCTGTTGCCAGTGGGGGGGCAGCAGGAACTGGAACCCTGCATGCATGCATGCATGGATGGCCACGCTAGCCGTAGGATGTAAATGGGCATCGATGGGATGGCATGCACACACCGTACAGGCACGTAAGGCACGTGCCGCTGCACCCCCGGCAAGCGCACCTCGGGCGGCGGCCCGGCGCCCGCACAGTGAAGCGGGCTGGGCTGCGGGTTGCTGCAGGCGCGGGATGCTGCTGTGTAGGCGCCAGCTGCTGCGTGGGCCGGCAGGCAGCAGCTGCATGTTCTATGGCCCCCCCGACTTGAAAATTTTGCAAAGGCGCTTCCAGCTCGGGGCCGGCTCTGTCGGCCACATGTGGTCACACTGATGGCGCAGTGAGGAGCCCCACCCTTTTTGCTGCACCCTCCTTCATAGGTGCAGGACAGCCTGGCAGTCAGGCAGTCAGCATTTCCCCCCTGCCCTCTTCAGCTGTCCAATACGGGCAGTGGCAGGCTCGTGCAGTGTAGAAGCAGCAACACGCGCGGTCGGTGCTGCAGCTGGCCAGAATGCGCGGCCGAGGCAGCAGGCAGCGGGTGGTGTCGCAGGCGCCTACCCTGGGCAGCAAACAATATCAATGTGCAGCCAGCTCTTGTGCTGTTGCTGTTCACAAGCTTCATCCTTGTGCGCTGATTCAAAATCATTAATTTAATGTGTTAGGCGTGTTGACACCGTTCAAGCGATGAACAAGGCGGACGGAGTACGGGGGGTCCAGCTTGGTGGTTGGGCTTGTTGAGGGCAGAAGTGAGCAGGGGAGTGGCGGGAAGCACGTACATGAGCGAGTACGGACGAATTATTACTTGATTTCCTGCATGGCATTTCCAGGGCAGCACATGAACTCGTGAACATGTCAAATTCGCTGAGCAGGGGCAAGAGAGTGCCATGCGTACTCGTGTCAGCGGTGCCAGCGGTCTGCCCACAAACCTTGTGCAGGGTGTAGCGCCGCAGGTACTTGTTGTACTTCTTCAGCTCCATCCGCTCCGGCGTGTTCTTCTTGTTCTGAACAGGGACAAGAGGGGCCGACCGAAGGGAGGGGCACAACATTGGCATCAGACTCAACCTAAGGCTGCTTTGGGGATCCACCGACGACCTAATGGTCAGGCGGCTCCCAGGAGCCTCCAACAGCTGCGCTTGATGGATGGCGCCGCACAGCCGCGCATGGAGATATGCTGCCCGCAGGTTGCGTTCCACACACCTTCTGCGTGGTGTAGCGCGATGGAGTGGCACCCTCGCCCCGCGCCTCGGTGCACTCGAGCGTCACCTGCAAAGCACAGACCTTTCCCTGGTAACTGCGCCGTGCTGCTCTGTGGTGTCAAGCAAAGCAGCAATGGTGAAATGCATGGGTGGGCCTTGCAGGATGCAGGCCCTGCAGGGCCCAGCCTGCAGTGGACTCACAATCATGCGCACGCCCTGCAGCGCACGAGGCAGCACAAATTTATGAGCACCATGTGGGGAGCGATGGGCGTGCCCACCGAGATGGCGCCCGGCGGCGGGCCGACGAGCTTGGCGGCGAAACGCCCGGCCGCGGTTGGCGGCGCCACGCCCGGCCGTGCCGCAGTGCCGGAGCTGGCCGCCATACGCCATACGCATGTGCTCCGCTGCTGCAGCCTGCATCACGCTGCCTGCACGCCGCTCCAGCCTTCCATGGGCTCACCTTCTTCTTTGCCATGCAGGTAACCTGCCGAGTGGCATTGCTAGACCGTTGTTGTGGAGCTGCGGTGGTGGTGGTGAAGGTTTGGCCGAAAAATGCGGTGCGCAGAGCCTGCATGTTGTCACCGCCGCTCAGCAACCGCCGAAGACCACCACGATGTTGCTGAGAAAACAATGTGATGCGGAGGTGCATACGGCAGCTGCATCGCCCTTGCCTTCTTCCCCGCCTGGGACCAGGAAAGGAAACCCCGGCTGTGTACACTCCCGTTGGAACCCTGCGCCCCAGAATTGCCCCGGCCATGAAGTTGAGGGTCAAGCACGCCTCCGGGCAGCGCATAGCGTTGCAGGTTTCCAACAACGCAACCCTGGGCGAACTGCACGCACAGGTGGCCCACGCCGTGCTGGGTGCCCCAACAGCGGGCGTGACGCTGTCCTTTAACAACAAGGTCAGGAGCGTGGGGTCGCCAGCTGAGCTGGCACCGCGCCGCCGCCGGACTTCACTCCATCACTTCCCTCCGCAGGATCCACTGCTTGGCGCACCCAACACCCCGCTGAGCGAACTAGGCGTTGCCAATGGCGACCTGCTGTGGCTGATGACGCCGCCACAGCCTCCGCAGCAACAGGAGCCTGGCGCTGCCACCAAGCCGGCCGCGCCCGAGGCCAAGCGAGCTCGCGACAGAGGGGCCGATGCAAACACGATGCCGCCTGCGGCGCAGGGTTTTTCAACGCTGCAGCAGGACAGTGGCAAGGGCAAGAAGGTGCTGGTTGGTACTGCCCCAGCGCCAGCCGGATGCAGTGGGTTGGAGCAGGGGGTGCAGCAGCAGGCGGCCGAGGTGCAAGAGCACCTGGAGCTGCTCGCAACCAGCCAGCGAGTCCCAACTTACCTTCTGCGCACTCTCCAGCACAGCTGCACCCAGCACACCCAGCCTGCGGAGCTGCTGATGCTCGCAGCGCATGCGGCAATGCTGGAGACGGGTTTTGTGCCCAGCTGGGTGGCGCTGCCAGCCGGCTCCGGCAGCATCTACCATGTGGCGATGTCTGGCAGCTGCTGGGCCACCCGCAGCATTTGCAGGATCAGGTATCACCTGGCGAATGGCGGCAGCATGATGACCGAAGCCACGCAGGTGGCTGGGGGCACCAGCGAGCAGCAACAGGGCCCGGCCTTCACGCTGCAATGCAGCAGCCTGGGTGGTGGAGTCGTGCTGGCGGTGACCGCCCGAAAGCACACGCGCTACCTCTCACTGCCAGCCGCTGGCTTTGTTCATCCCTTGGCTGCACCTGCGCCATCAGCAGCATGTGGCGGCGATGCAGCACCCAGCAGCAGCCAGATCTTGGCCTCTGCCACCCATGCTGCAAGCGGCACGGCACCAGCGCATAGTGCAGTGCAGTTGCTGGCTGACGGCGGCCTGGCGGTTGCAGGCTGGCTGCAGCTGGACCCTGCCAGCACTCGGCGCTTGTGGACAGCACTCAAGGACGGTCTGGCCTTTCCCATGCTGCTGGCGGCGTACGCTGAGGCAGGGCTGCCGCCGCCTGTGGGGCTGCTGGCCCTGCCAGAGGACATCAAGCACCGCCTGCTGGAGCTGGTGGAGGTGTGTTGTACTGCTGCTGGAGCTGTCAATTGCTGTGCCTTGGTTCCTCCACATCAGCACGTGTAGCATGTTGCTGCTCGTCTTCACCGACCGACACGTCGCTCCCTGCAGGCTCAGGACCTGGCATCGCTTTGCTGCACCTGCTCGGAATTGCGTCACCTGGCATCTCAGGACGAGCTGTGGCGCCCCCTGTTTGAGCGCGAGTTTCCCCATGCGCCGCCTTACTTTACCGCCCAGGTGCGATGGGAAGCAGCGGCTGGCAGTTGGCAGCTTTTTTGGACCAAGCCAGCCTATGTGTGTATCACGCCTGCTCATGCCTCTCACCTGTCTACCCTCACACCCGCTGCCCACCGCAACAAAGCAGGCACAGCAAGGCCGAGGCTACAAGTGGGCATTTGCGCAGTGCTGGCGCGAGCGGCGGCAGCGTGAGGAGGCACTACGTCGTGTCCGCGCCCGCTCATTCATGCCCGCCGTGCCACACTTTGGCGTGCCCCGGCCGCCCTTCTACCCGCCGCCACTGCGCCCCGGCTATCCTGGCATCGTTGGCGGCGACTTTGATCGCCTGCCGCAGTTTGGTCCGGGCTCCGGGCTTCCCGGACAGTTTGGGGGTATTGGCAGGCGGCATGGCCGAGGTGGGCTCGGTGGCTTCGACATGCACTGATTACAGTACCCAGCCTTTCCCCCGGTTTGTCCTGCCCACCTGCTTGCTGGATGCCATAACCGTGGCCTGCAGCACATCCACGATTCCCGCGCTTCCCGTTTTGACACCTGTAGCCAGCATGTACCATAAGTGCGCATATCTGTAGCAAGTTGTATCAACTCGATGTCTTGTCAAGTTATAGCCGGTCAGGGGGTAAAAATGATGGAGGGCTGATTGCAACAAATGGCAACAAAGCAAAATAGAGGCAGGGGGAGCAAATCCACAACCCGAAAAGATACAAGGCGAATTGGCGCAACTACTGTGCCATGTCCAGCAGCAAAGAGGAGGACAGAGAAAAGACAGCAAATGGTGGAGACGCTAAGAACCTATAGCACAATTCCATTCCAGCTTGGGCTTGGAAAGAGTGTCAGGGACAAGTGAGCAGTGGCAGCAGCCTAGTGCATACCGTTGGCAGCGGCAGCTGCAGTCTTCTCGAGCCGGAATCCCGTTCCCGCTTCATGCACTGCCTTGATAGCGCGGCCGCTGCATCAAGGGTTAAAACATGCCACATGCCACACTTCAAAGCCGCCCCCGACCACTTTGCTGGGCTGCAATGCAAGCATTCCCATCAATGCCTGCCTGCCGCACCATCCAGGGAACGCATCCCCACCTTATCTCGTGCGTGTTCTCCCATTCAGGGTCCCACTTGAGCGCTTCTGGCGTGGAGCAGGCAATGGAGAGGCCCTGAGGCACGGTCTTGATGGCATCGGGATGCGGGAAGTGTGATTGGAAGATGGAGCGCAGCAAGAAGTACTCGCGTGTGCGAGGCGGATGCTCTGGGAAGCGATCAAACCGTGACTCCCACATGTCGTCCGTCACCACCTGCAGATAGCGGCAACAGCGCCTCATGATGTGGGACGGGGGCCTGTGTGTGCCAGTGGATGGACCTGCTGGGTGTACAAGCAGCAAGTGTGGCAGGAGCCTCCAGATGCCAGGTCATGATGACAGCCCTTATCCACCTGCGCCGCATACTCCTTGAGCCCATCCACCCAGTCATACCCTACGCCGTCGCTAAACTGCTCCTTCTGGCGGAACAGCACCTCATCCGGAAGGTAGGGGTGGTCTGGCTCATCAAAGGCCTTCACGTGAGTGGCAGGGGGCCGAGCCAGATGCATGAGACGCTGGCAAGAATTATGAACCGATACTGGCAGCAGCTGCTGCCTACCTCAGTACCTCAAATCGCACCCAGAGCTGTCTCTCATGCCCACCCAGAGCTTTCTCTCATGCCAACCCCACCTTGCGCAGGATGTACTTTTCCAGCTTGGCGTGCACGCCATCGGGCTTGACCGACAGGTTGGGCATCTTGTCCGCGGCGTCAATGTTCATCGCCACCTGCGTGATCGGGGACACACAGCAGGAGAACCAGAGGAGGTTGAACGCGCCAGATGGATGACCTTGCAATAGCAAGTCCACAGAAGCAGTCAAGATGGCGGCTAACCCCTGTCAGACGCACACACCTGCAGGAACTGCTTGTCCAAGAAGGGAACGCGGGTTTCGAGGCCAAAGGCAAAGGGCGCCTTGTTGGCGCGCAGCACATCCCACTGGTGCAGCCGTGTCACGAGCCGCACACACTCGCGGTGGTACTCCTCTGCAGAGGCGGTTGCAGGCAGTCAGGGAGAGCAGACAGGAGGGTAGAGGGCGGGCAAAGCAAATGTGGGGCTCAGTGTTGACTGGCGCCCACGACTGGTGCCCACGACTGCAACATGCCCAGCTGCCCAGCACAGCCACCTGGTGAGGGCGCCTTGTGGAAGTAGAGGTAGCCGCCAAAGATTTCGTCGGCACCCTCCCCCGACAGCACTACCTTCATGCCCATCGCCTTGATGCGCTGGCTGAGCAGGTACATGGGCACCGCCGCGCGCACCTGCAGAGGGGTGGGGTGGGTGGGGTGGTCGGGTGGGGTGGCGGGCCGGGGGTGACGAAAGTGTGTGTGTGTGTGTGGGGGGGGGGTACACAGCGAAATACCGGACCACCCCCACCCAGCCCACCCCCACCCGACCACCCGCACAACCACCCCAACACGCACACCATGGCCCACCCAATCCACCCCAAGCCCACCCTGACCGCACCCCAACCCCATTCTGCTCAAACCTGCTCATAGGACTCAATGTGCCAGATGAGGTCGTACAAGGCGTCAATACCCTCCTCCACGGTAAAAGTGAACTCGTGATGAATGGTGCCCAGGAAATCGGACACTTTCCGCGCGGCAATCAGGTCAGGCGAGCCTTCAGGGACAGTTGACATGCGGTGCCAGGTAGGGGCAGGCAGCAGCAGGTCATGTGTGTGTGAGTGTGTGTTTTGTTTGTGGGATGCCCAGGGCCTGGAAGGCAAATTGCTGCTCCGCTGCCTACCAATCCTTTGACTTTGACACAGGTGCTTGCCTTGACCAACATTGACTGCCACACCACCTGCCCACAACAGCATCAGTGCCCCACACCCTGCACTCACCCTTAATGCCGATGGAGTAGGTGTGGAGCTTGTGGTCAGGGTCAAACGCGTTCTTGGCCTCCTTGATGTGCCGCACCGCCACGCTGGCCACCAGGCTTGAGTCTAGACCGCCGCTCAGCAGGATAGCCAGCGGTGCGTCGCTCATCAGTCGCTTCACAACCGCGTCGATGAAGGTTTGCTGCAGCGGTGAGTGGTTGGGGTGGCAAGTGCCATGTTCAGGCCCATGGGCGCACGTGGATGTGACGAAAATGCAGGCAGTGGCGTTCCACCACTGCCAGTTTCATGCAGTGCTTCTTATGGTGCTCTTTTCCCTCGCCCCCTTGCCTTGAGTAACGGCAGATCCACGGGTGTCTTAGGGATGTTCTCCAAGCTGATCCAGTCGGGCTTGAACCACCGTTCCAGCTTGCCCGTGCTGCTACGGTACACATGGCCCTGCAGCACACCAGCCAAAAGGCGCAACATCAACCAGTTGCTGGTGGTCAGGAGAGCCTTCCACAATGGTTGCAGCGGCAGCAGCTCTCGACAGCACCGCAGATAGTAGCAGCCCAGCAGCCAATTGCACACCGGCGGGAAGCACTCAATGTTGGTGCACTTGGTCTGCAGCGCCTTCATCTCGCTAGCAAACCATACTGAGCCGTCAGCGCCATGGCCCCAGTAAAGGGAGCAGATGCCGATGGGGTCTCGCGCTGCGCAAAAGTAGCCTGTGCGCTCGTCCAAAATGATGCAGGCAAAGATGCCATCCAGGCTGTTCCACAGCTCATTGGTGTCGCCGTACTTTTGGTACAGGTAGCCCACCACCGCCGAGTCAGAGCGCGAGTGCAGGTCCACGTCTGCCAGCTTGGTGGCACGCAGCACCTCGTGGTTGTAGATCTCCGAGTTGCTGCGGTCCATGCGTGGAAGCACACATCAGCACGGGAGGGTGGGCAGCCAGCCTCCCCGGCTCAACCAGGCTCAGCCTGGCTGCACATCGCTGCCGTCTTCGCAGAAAATGCAGGGGGTAGGGCTGCCTCTCTTCTCCCTTAACCATGCTCAGGCTAGGCGGTGGCTGCACCACCCGCCGCCACTCCCAAGCTGCAGGCACTCACAGGGCCCAGGCGATGTTGCCTTCTGGTGTGGGGATCCGGAACGGCTGCCTGCAGCAATGAAGCAAGGGCAGGGAGTGAGCACAGCCCAGCGAGCAGTTACTGTAGGGCATGCCCGACATGCAGGGCAGCCACAGGTGCTGCAGAACACGCAATGCACCCGTCCTCACCTGCCCGTGTCAGTGGGGTCCACAATCATGAGGCGCTCGAAGGCGATGAAGGCCCTGCCATCCGCAGCCTGGTAGCACGAGTTCTGGTCTGGGCCCCTGTGTCTCAAAAGCCTGCTTAGCTGCAGAATTTCCCTCCTGTTCTTCTCCGCGTCGCCCGTTATCCCCAGCGCCGCGAGTATGCCGCACATGGTGGCGTCCCAGAGCCTAGACCTCTGGTTCTGCACTGGCCGATGCAATTAAGAAGAAGAAGACAGAAGCAGGAGAATGGCCTTGGCGCCTGCCAGGTGGCATGACCCTGGGCCAGCGCATCATTGCATCATGTGCGTCGCAGGCAAGCACTGGTGGGGGTACTGTGCACTGTGCACGGCCTGGACAGTTGCCACATCTTTGGCGTGTTTTATTACAGGTTGGTTGGGGAGGCCAGCTTATCACAGGTCCACCAATACAGGTCCACCTGTTACGGCGGCGTGCCCTGGAACTCCAGGGGCCGCTTGCCGTCCACCAGCTCTTCCACCTGGCAGATGGGGGACCAGGGCATGCATGAAGAAGCAAACAACTTTGTCAAGGGCGGTCAAGGTTTCCTCCCGCAACGCCTCACCAGCTTCTCAAATGCGGGCCGCGAGTGCAGCTCGCAGAACGCAAGCGGCTCGCCGTCGGTGGAACGGAAGGTCAGCGTCTGCCCAGCAACGTGCCCGCACAGCACATGGAAGGAGCGGCAGCAGGTGCCCATCGCGCACTGTCTGCAGCGTGCGCAGAGCCAGAACACGGGGTGAGGCGACATGCTTGTGGCGGCAGGTGTAAAATAGTATGCAAATTTATGCCGTGACACGGCATTAAAGCCGGTGCCGCGGCCCTGAAGCCGTGCCACAACACCATTTCAAGAATGGTAACAGAGACTGCAAATGTCACTCACACTGAGCCGCCGCCCGCCTGCTTGCATAGCTCACATCGCAGGCGTGTACGTGCTGCGGTCAATTTGTCAAGCCGCACTCCTGCCATCTGCTCGTGATTGGCCAGCTCAATCTCGGGAACCCACAGCGCGCAGGCCAAGTGGCAGTGCACTGCCTTTGGCTTGCCCGCTGGCACCAGCCGCCCCAGAGACGCTACCTGTGCCAGCAGCGGTGCAGATGTTGAAAAGTGACAAAGCTGGGGCTTGGCAAGACCCAACAAGGGGCGCATGCAAGCATCCTGACCTTCTTCACCGCGCTGCCCACCATAGGGCACACGCAGCAGTTCGCGCCCCACGGGTTCAGCTTGGCCTTGCACGCCTCGCACAGCCACCTGCCCTTGGGTACCGTGCTGACGCCATAACACATTTGGTGCACCGCCACGCTGCAGCAAGCGCAGGCAAGGCACTGGCAACTTGCTGTTGCTGCCACTGGGCGTTCCATCAGCAACCAAGGCAAAGCTGGCCAAGTTGACGAGGCACCCGCTCCGGCCAGCCCTGGAGCGAAGCGCACCTGCAGCCCTTGCCCTCGCACAGCAGGATGACGTTGCCAGCTACAGCATCACCATCGAAACAAACGCTGCACACCGCGTCCTCCTCACTGCCCTCGCCCTCGCCACTGTCTCCTCCCTGCCATGCCGGGTGGACTGCCTTCAGCTGTGGCAGCTGAATGGCGGCATCAGATGCGGCAACGTCCTCAGCCACCAGCATGAACAGCCCGTGCCGCTTGGTGCCACCTCCCTCCTGACCGCTGCAGCATGCATCAGGGTTGGCGCTGCGAGCCTGCTTCCTAGCTCGGCCCATTGTCTGTGCCGATGACGGGCCGCCGCCATGCTCCTCCTCAACCGGCTCTGGCACCGCTGCTGCTGCCAGTTGGTGCCGGCTGTTGCCCCTGCCGAGCGGCTCCCTTTCATTACTATGATTGCCATCGCCCCGTTCGCTGGCCACAAAGCCAACCACGGCAGCTGCGGCAGAGCTGAGCCGGCGCACGCGGCCAGTGCGGCGTGCAACCGTCACGGCGGGCAGCGTGAAGTCATCCTCGCTCTCCGAGCTGTCTGCCGACTCATCGTCATCTGGGCTTGCATCCTCCTCGCCCTCGCTGCTGCTACCGACTGCTGCCTCCTCCTCATCCTCCTCGCTACTCTGCACCACAATTGAGTCGTCGTCCTCGCTCTCGTCCGCCCTGCACCACATGGCATGGTGGCACAGCATTGCATGAGGGTGCGCGATAAGGCCGCTGCAAATGAAACACTAGATTCCTGGCATCCCCCCCAAACAATACTCTGAGAGTGGACCTTCAAAGGGAGGTGGAAACAACAAGTGGGATGTAGAGGGAAGATGGGCGCCATGCGGCAGCATGCCACGATGAAGGCAACAGCACCACGTCACTTGATGCAAAATACAGGTTTCCAGCCGTCTTGAGGAGCTCTTGCCCATGCAAACGCCCCCACAGTGCATCTGCCTCCCTCCCCACTACCCCCAGGTAACAGAACAGGCTCATGTGGTGCCTGAGTGCTGGTCAGGGGCAGCTCCAAACTTGTCCGTACACCCAGGCCCCCCCTTTCTTTTCAGCCGCCCACATGCCCGGAATCTATTTTATTTTCGCTTGCAGCAGCTAACAGACGGCGGTATGGCAGGCCACTGCAGCACGGAATGAATGATGCTGGAGGCACGGAAGTACTACACCTGGCTGCCCATGATGGCAGCCGACACACCTGCCACGCTTGGTCCCGCGGCTGCGACCCCTACCCCATCTTCCCGCGATCACGATGTGCTTGGCATTGCCGCTGTCCACCTGCATGGTGGTGGGGCGGCCTCGGCCACCCCTGCTGCGACCTCCACCTGTGGCACGAGCTGCCTGCTGCGCCGACAGCTCCTGCCCCGTGCGCGCCCTGTACTTGAGGGCCCGCAGGTGCACGTTAATGCGCCGCAGGGCATCTATCTGCTGGCGCAGCAGGTGCAGCTGCCCGGGTGTCAGCACCTGCGGCAACGAAGCGGAGGCGGCGCGCGTGTGGGTGGCGGAGCGCGGCACCATCTGGCAGCGGCGAGCCAGCGCATTGATACATGCCAGAAGATTGTTACCGGGCAGGCCTGAACAGCAGAGACCTGACGGTCGTTGAGGATGGGCAGGACGTCCGTGGTTTGTGGAGGCATAGTACTCGTATGGGTGTGCCGATCATCGCAATTTTATTGCGTGCTACACAGCCGGGCCGGTGTGAAGGGCCGTTGGACGTAGCGCAACGCAGCAAGTGGCGGCACAACCGTGTACGCATGGAACCAAGGAAATCGTACTGATTGGGCTCTTTTTGGAGCTTCGCGGGACGGTGGCGATACAGTACTGCGGCCGCGACCACCACGAACTCCTCGGCGCAGCCTCTGCAGCAGTAGCAGCAGGGAGAGGGGCGGCCCGGGCCTGGCCCCTGGCCCCCCGTCCCCCCACCCCTGTGCGCCACTCGCCGCCTGCCGCCCCCACCCCGCCTGTCGCCCATCCACTGCACCGCCCCCCCTCGGACTCGTGCACTGAAAAGGCTTCTCTTGCTCGATTGACGTCGATAGCTTGGCAGCGTGCAAGCCCCCAGTTACTGAGGAAATGATACTGAAAACAACCGCTGCTCGTCCTGCCAGGCCAGTGGTCGGCAGCTGTCCTGCCAGAGCAGTCACGAGCGGCATTTATGATTAGCTCAAAATGAAATGCAGGGCTGTAGCAAAAGGGCAGCTAGGCAGGGAGGGGCAGCAAACAGCGCAACCGCCCTCACACAAAGTGCGGTTCTGCGCCATTTCTGCTGCTGCGGGGTCCCTTCTTGCTGCTCTCTGGCGTGGCTGCCGTGGCGGCCGCAGCAAGTGGGCCCGGGGCTGCACCGTAGAGCTGCGGCGCCGGCAGAGTGGACAGCTGCTCTGTTGCAACCTTCATGCCGTGTGCTTTGAGGCAGTTGACCGTGGCGGGGTTTGCGGCCACGAGAACCACGGAGGAGACGCCAAGGTCGCGCAGGATGTGGGCTGCCACGCTATAGTCCCGTGCATCCACCTGTGGGGCGCGGGGCGGGGAAAAAGCAGTGGTATCATTGCTCGCCAAGGCAGCAAATTCCAGTGCTGGCGCCCCTGGCGCCCCTCCCAGTCAAGTAGTAAGAAGGGGATAGCTGGCTATCCGGTGTGGGGAGAAAGGAAATTGCTGGCTTGCCTGGACGGCAAACTGGCAAACATGGAACCTGCCAACTGGCAAGGGCTGCCCTGGCCCAAAAGTCCTCAGCAATAGCACGCTGCATGCGCCACCCACCGGGAAGGTGGCATCATCGAGCACTGCAGCGTTTTCGCACGCCTCTGCTTCTGCCGTCGCATGCGCCTGCAGCTCCTCTGCCAGTGGGAGCCCTCGCCCCTGCTGGCCACGCAGGTACACCAGCACCCCACTGCCTCGCGCTCCTATGCCTGCCAGCGCCGCATCCAGCTGGCTGCCACTGTCGCACCGTGCCGCACCAAACAGGTCGCTCAGCATGCTCTCGCTATGCACTCGCGTGAGGACTGAGTCTGCATGCCGCACTCGCCCCATCACCAGTGCTATGTGCTCCGTGCCATCCAGCAGGCTCCGATAGGCATGCGCCGTGAACTCGCCATACCTGTGGCAGGGAGGCAGGGAGAGGGGCTGAATGTCAGTGTGTAAGGATGCGGCTGCTACAAGTGTGGCAAAGAGAGCAGATTTGGTATGTTATAGGCGGAGTACTTGAGCTGAGTAGTTGTCATGCAGGCACGGAGCTAGCAGCCCAGCTCAAAATGCTAGGCACCAGCAGTACTGCCAGCTGCCACAGCTGCAGTTTTGCTCCGCACGGGCCAGATGCCGCTGTCACATCTCACCTTGTGGGCAGTGGTGCCACCGCTGTGCACTCCACAAGTGGATCGTACTTGAGTCGATACCGCACAAGGTCGGCAATGGTGATGCACTTGAGGCCATGCGTCTTTGCAAACTGCAGCAGCTGCGGTGTGCGTGCCATGGTGCCATCAGGGTTCACAATCTCGCACAGCACACCTGCGGGCTGGCACTTGGCCAGGCGGCAAAGGTCCACTGAGGCCTCAGTATGGCCAGGTCGCCGAAGCACCCCACCCTGAGAGGCAGGCAGGGCAGGAAAGGAGCATTTGTGTGTAGGGGGTGGGGGAATGGGTGATGCAGATGGGGCAAGCAGCAGAGCACAGACGCTCAGCTGGGGCTGGGCCAAGGCGCAAAGAAGGCGGCTGGATTTGCAGGCGCAGGGGAGCAGAACCACGGCAGACTACAAAGGAACGTCGGCAAGGCCCAGGGCGGCATAAAAGCGCAAACCAGACGTGCAAAAAGGGGACGCAGAGGGACCCCGGCAAAGACCGGCCAAAATCAAGCAGGCCCCCCCCCCCCCCCCGGCCACGCACCGCTCTGGCACGCAGCGGAAAGATGTGCCCAGGTCGCTTGAAATCCTCGGGACGCACATCTGGATCTGCCAATGCGCGAAGCGTGGCGGCGCGGTCGGCAGCGGAGATGCCAGTGGACGTGCCGTGGCGCAGGTCCACAGTGACTGTGAAGGCGGTGCACATGGCCTCCTCGTTCTCTGTGGAGCTGACCATGAGTGGGATGCGAAGGCGATCAAGGTCCGCGCCCTCCATGCCCACACACACCACGCCGCTGGTATGGTTGACGATGAAGGCCATGGCGGCGGGGGTTATCTTGTCGGCAGCGGCAATGAGGTCGCCCTCATTCTCGCGGTCCTCATCATCGAGCACCACCACCAGCTCGCCTGCTGCCACGGCCCCCAGTGCGGCATGTATAGAGTCAAAGCCGGGCGTTGGCTCCGCCAGGTCGCAGTCGCTGGTACCCATGAAGGCGGGGGAGGAGGTGGACGAGGCAGCGGCGGCTGCCGACCTCGACCGCCCAGCTTCCAGCGAGGGCCGGCGGCCGCTGCCAGGGCTGCTGTTGCCGCCACTGCTCCTGCTGCTGCTGCTGCTGCCGGCCGCTGTTCTGAAAAGCAGGGACCGGGTGCCGGGGCCCCGGCGGCTCCCTGTGTTCTGCGCTGCTGGTGGGGCCGGCAGTGCCCTGCATGTGTATGCGGCCAGCTGCATGCTGCCACGAATGTGAGCCGGGTGGGCTGCGGAGCCGAACTCCGTGGTGGGAGGACGTGCGTGCGAGCTAGCTAGCTATATGGGCACACAATGAGGCTGGACTCGTACACTAGACTGCAGGGGAGGCTGCCTTGCTTGTCGCCTATGCAAGAGGATAGGAGCGTGATGCCTTTCTGCACAAAAAGACACGCCAGCACCATGTACTCTTGCTGCCAGAACTCTGTGCTGCATTTCTGACATCGCCCCAGCGTTGCTGCACTTGCTTGCTGGTCCCCCAGCCTCATCCAGCAACGCTCACCCCCTCTGCATTGCACAGAGCTGCACGGCATCATGGCCAGCTTTGCGGCTATGGCCGCCAAGGACGCCAAGCAGACGAAGCTTCCGCTGAAAGTTGTGCAGCTCGAGGGTCAGGTGGTGTTGAAGATAGCCAAGCACTGCAGGGAGAGTGATGCCTCGCTCAGAGATAGCGAGGCCACTGTCACCGGCCAGCTGCTGGGCCTGGATGTGGGCTCCACGCTGGAAATCACAGACTGCTTCCCCTACCCGGTGCGCCTGCCCGCCCACACTGGCGCGACCCGCCACCGCTGCCACGCACCGTTCTCTGTTGCGTTTTTTTTTTTTTTTTTTTTTGGAGGAATGCATGCAGCTGCTTAACCAAATTGTTGTCTTAAGCCAGGGCAAAGCGGTGCCTGGGATCCCCCCTATGTGCGTCTTGTTCATTTTGGACGCTCGACGCCGCCAACCAGGTGTTTGTGGCCGAACAGAACGTCATTTGGACCCAGTGGCTGAATGTTGGCTGCAGGGCAACGCGGGCGAGGAGGAGCAGGAGGCGGTGGGCGAGGGGGAGAGCTACCAGCTGGAAATGATGCGCTGCATGCGCGAAGTCAACGCCGACAACAACACTGTGGGCTGGTGCGTGCGCGGGTGGAGGCTGGGGGGTGGGGGTGGGGTGGGGGGCT